GTGTGTGTGTGTGTGTGTGTGTGTGTGTGTGTGTGTGTGTGTGTGTGTGTGATTTTTATTGCTACAATCAAGTTAGGTGTGTGTTGAGAAAAAACTCAAATGAAGAGAAATGGTTAGGGAAGATATAAAGCCTACCCAGTCTTTGCCCCTCCTTTCTTTCCAGTTAATATCTATCGTCTTTATCTCCCGTCCTTGTTTTTTGTGTTTGTTATTCTCTTGTAACACCTGCTGTTATTTCCGGCAGTTATATTTTGACCAAAGTAGGTTGCAAGTGCTGTACTACTCTTACTAAAGCAAAAACATACTTGTTGTTGTCGTTGTTGTGGTAGTGGTGGTGACGGTAGTTTGGTTCTGCCATGGTAGTATTTATGGAATGGATTGCTGCCAACATTTAGGTAAAAACAAAACGCATTTATTAAGTTTTTGAGGATCTGAGTGTGGAAGTCCGTTTTTATGTTCGAAAATACACATTCTCTATTTTTCTAGTAATTATCCTCGCAGATTTGTTGATGCTGTAGAAAGTGGGGGTTGATATCTTTTGTTGTTGTTTTTTATCTTTAGGAGTGGGAGGGATGAAAAGTTAACAGCTATGAGAATGTATATTCTTAATAGGTCGAAGACACAATCAGTCATTTGAGGTCAGTAATGAAAATAACCTTGGATTATCATCATTTTGATTATTGTTCTTATTCGAATACTTATGAATGGAGCTTATGTGATAAAGTAGATGTACGTAGTTCCTCTCGCTGTTCAGAAGACGCCATTTCTTGCTTTATTTGAGAAATCCTTCTTTTGAGCTAGCTTATTGGCACACAATAATAATATTATAATGCTGCATATGGAATTAATACTCTGTAAAGCAATCTACTTTTCTTTCTGAGCTCAGCGAAGATAATAGTTATGGATTAGCTACGTAGTGTATGTCACGATTCAGAAGGTGGCGGTTGATGCCTTCTTTGAGCTGGCTTATTGGCTTGAGATTTGGACAATATAGAATTAGTGCTCTGAAAACCAGGCAATCTTGCTTTTCTTTCGGGATTCGGCAAAAGTAATTGCTATGAGTTATTTACGTCTGTACTCCTTATTATTACCTCGATTGATATTGTTAAATGTGGTTAATTGGATGAACCGCCAGTAGAGAAAGGAAAGTCAGAAAGGGATACATTATATTATTAAGATAATGTTTAAGCACGAAGAAGAAAAACTGGCCAAGTGGGTGGTTTGAGGGCGCCACTGGTAGGTCATACTTCTTTACTTTCCCCTCTGTTTCTTTTTTCTGTCTGTCTCTTACTTTTTCCCAGCTCTAAATGACTATTATTGTGTCAATGTGCTTCTGTTTACTCGAACGATCAAACAAAAAAAAGACTTGTCTCGCTCTTCTCAGATATACAGGTGGCCTTCCTGTTTTTATTTACATTGAACGAATGAAAACGTTTTGTGGTGTCTTTTTTAATACATAAATGAGCTTGCTAGTTCGCGTTTAAAGCCGTGAATATATTTAAGGTCAAAGGTTTCTGCCTATGTAGTAGTAGTAGTATAAGGTTTTACGGCGCTCGCAACTGCTAAGGTCATATGAGCGCGCGTTTCTGCCTATGTCATGGCAATAACTATAAAATGTCTGAAATAGTTGTCGAGATTGTTACGCGCCGCCATCTCTCAAGAGATCTCTCAATAAAACTATTGTCGGGTATTTTGGAAAGTTTAAAAGTAAAAGTTATACGCGGGTCGCATACATTCGCAATTATTCTGCGCTTGGGGTTGAAGACCTAGCACCTATGAAGATTACGTTTGTCGCTAACAGAAAAATAACGTGTAAGGGTATATTGCCAATCTCAGTGGTGTTTTTATTTTGTTGATTATAGAGATATCGATTCCAAACAATTAAAGATGTGGGGCATTTTCACAAAAATCGAATCTTTGAAAATGACCGTTTGACCCAGATTCGCATTTACGTGTACTAGGTTTATTTCAGCGGTAGCGTGGTAGAGTTCGCTCAGAAGTCATGGCAGTTTGATTAAAGTGCGCTTAGATTCTACCAAAAAACGAATGGAGTAGTTAAATTAAGCTTTTTATTATTATTATTATTGTTATTATTACTATTTTATTATTATTATTATTATTATTATTATTATTATTATTATTATTATTATTTATTATTATTATTATTATTATTATTATTATCATGCATTAGGTAAGATAATGTTACCTTCATTGTCCAGACCTGGCATGTTTGGTTTAATGTTTACACACACGCACGTACACATTTATTTTTGTTCTCTCCTACACACATTCCACATTCACTCATAACATCATGTGCTTACACTCACAAACAAACCCACTGTCATCCGCATAATGTGATATAAATGAAAAACTATTATTAACAATGATAGTGCCCAAGCTAGATACATAGTCAATATTCTGATAGTATCCCTGTGGTATTCTGATAGTGCATGCTCTTAAGGTCATAGAAATTCAGGCGAAATTGTCTTAGACGGCCGTC